TTATAGAACCTCTAGTATTTACCCAGCGGCCGCCATCTTTTCTCATATCGTTTTTTTCGTATATTTTGTCCTACAATTACGCGCATTGTGAATCTTACATTGCAAGTTTGTCCCCAACAGTCGTAGTTTTATTACAAAAAAATAAAATGAAGTCACCAACAGCTGGTAGATTACCTGTAATATGCTTGGTGTTAAATTAGGTTTAGGTAATTAGGTCTTCTCAGGCATATTTAAAGTGTAGGTTTTTAGATGACGTTGTCGCGTGTTTTGTATTGTATGTGATTGTCGAACTACGAACCGAAACTTTGTGCGCCATTTCACCGATGAAGGTACCACAACGAGTACCGAAATATCTGAATAAATGTAATATTTGTACTTATCCTCTTGAACAACTCCGAAAAAACATAAACATTAATTACATATAGTCCTGAGGAAAAGCTTTTTAATCATGACACTCAAGTCATATCTCATAAAAAGCTAATTATGTACATCTGTCGTCGACGGCAATCTTATCAGAAACTTCATCTGCAGGAGCCAGCCAATCAGATTCCTTATTGCGGTATACCCAGCCAAAAGGGGTCGCTTAGGGCATTGGGAACGCCTACTAGCCTATTGGCCTACATACGTGCAGCTGTTAGCATCTCCGTACAGAAAATAAAATTTGCAAGGAGATAGCCTTTTTAAGATATTGTACAAATGCAGTAAATTTGGTAGGATATTGAAGGAGAAATATGGGACCACCATGCATACCTATTGCATATGGGGAATGTTATCATGATGACACATACCAATCACTCACAAAACATGTATTTAGCAATAAATGTAGAAAAATCGACGGGGAAAACAGCACGTCTCACAAAAGGTTAGACGGTGAACATCTCTTCCACACAGCTCTCTTCCGCTGTCGTTTGTGGGGGTACGGTGTGGATAGGGGAGGGGAGGGGAGGGCGTCGGACCGCACCGAGCGCGCGCCGGCCGTGGGGGAGGGGGGGGGGGTAGAATCGATACGGCCGGCTCGACCCGAGGTCGATACCTCAGGCGCGGCGCACTCTGGTCTCGAAGGTCAGCTGGCACGGGCCGCCGCTCGCGTCAGCCATTGTTAGCTGCGCCCGCCAAAGAGACGTGACACGGGCCTCCGAGCCAAGCCAAGCGCTGCCGCGGAATGCCCTCTCCCCGTATCTGCGCAACGCTAATCACCCGGTGCCAAACACAGGGGTGGTGATCGCTACGCGTGTTTGACAAGACGAACACACGCGGTGGAGTTCCGCAGGCGCGCCGATGGGTGCAATAACAGTCTGTTTCAAGCTGCATTAGCCAACGATTAACGGGACTGCATTGTACTGAACACCTATTGATAAGGTCCACTTAGATGGGTTACTAAATTTTAGTTGCTGTCTTACATGATACTTTCTGATATGCGATGCCAATTCCAACGGGATGGTGACAGTTACCGGGGTTACATGTGAGCAGAGTAAAGGCGTATCACAAAGGACTACAATGGTGAGCGAATAGGAAAATCCGTTCCCGATACGCATTCACTTTCTCATGTAACCCAGGTATGAGGTAAGTGATTCATCGTCTTACAAAACACAGCGTGTAAAACTTCAAAGATGGTCATATTCGCAATAAGAAATTAATCAATCATTTCGCATGACTGGACATCCGTTTTCTTACTCACAATGTCATCGATAATTTAAGCGATTTATGACATTGTCCAGAGCATATAAGCAAGCGCCGAAGCGGATTAATCGGTTCAGGAGACAAACATTCCCAAGGCCAAATGAGCTATTGGGGAGGACTTAGGATTTATACCTAAGGATGTTAACGTTTGACGCAATAGCTGCATTTTTGCGATTTAATGCGTAAGATACTATCGATCAACTTGCTTTATCTGAACAGCAACCTTGTGTCGAAAAATCTAGGAAAATGTCTGCAAATTATCACATTCTTGTCTTAACACGCACCTTTAATTACTTCTCTTTCTGAGCGTTAGCCTCTAGGATGCGTGCCCGTGCCCTGTCTCGCCACCGTAGGATCCAGTCCCAGCCCCAGCGCTCACCGAGGCCCTTGGAGCGCAGCCAGTCGGCCCAGCCGATCAGGCGCCGGTACTCGACCTCGTAGACGTCGGGGATGAGCTCGGCGCCACCGGCCGGGTGCGGCACCATGCGCACGGACGCGGCGCCGCGCACCCGGCGCTCATACTCCACCAGCGCCGCGAAAAAGCCGGTGTTGGGCCGCACCACCCGGCGGCGCGCGCGCACCCGCGCGAACGCCTCGCGCAGCGACAGGCCGGCGTGTTTGACCTGGTGGGCGAGCACCAGCGAGGCGCTGCGACTGACACCGGCCACGCAGTGGACCAGCGTGCGGCCGCCGCGCCGCCGGTGCCGCTCCATCGTGTCGGCGGCCGTGTCGAAGTGGGCGGCCAGCGGCGCCGTCGGCACGTCCTCCACGGGGATGCGCAGGTAGTCGACGCCGCTGATGGGCAGGTTGGGCAGCGGCGTGACGTTGATGACGCACGTGACGCCCAGCGCGCGGATCCGGTCGACGGTGACGGCCGGCGCGCCGCCCAGCACGATGTAGTCGTTGATTTCGGTGAGCTCGTAGAAGACGTCATCGGCGCGCACCAGTGACGAGGCGGGCCGCTGCCGGCTCTGTGAGTGCAGGACACCGGGCGGACCGTCAGCGGGGGAGGGAAGAACGGGCGGCGACTGGGCCAACGATACGTTGCGGTATGGTGCCTGCATTTTACAAGTGAAAACAATGGTACGCGGTGCAGGTAAGACTAAACAATCTAACCACCAATTAAACACCTTTTTGGGCGACAAACGAGGGAGCGCGAGAGTGAGCCCCGCACGTGCGGAAGTGCTAAGAGGACTTCCAGCTGACTTGTGCACGGCAGTCGGCACCCTTCTAACCGACGTCTAGCAGCGTACCTAATTTGAGAGCTATCGGCCCAGCCCAGCTGTTTTCGAGACGTGGAAGCGGCCTCCTGCACGTGCGCACGTGCAAGCTGGATCAAAGGCCCCAGTAATTAGGTACCAACTTATTGTAATGGGAACAAACTTTGTTTTCATTTTGCATATGGCACGTGAGTCACGTCCAGTGGAGGTCACCCATGTGCCTTGCATGTCGAGAGTGGTCCGATGCTTGATATAGGGATGCAGCCGCTACAAAAATACCGCAAGTCAACAGCACAGCGGTTGCTGAGATACAGGCCTCTCAAAAGCGCTACTTCAGCAGAACAACTTGGACCACCTTGACTTTTCACGTGGTACAACGTCAACGTGTACCACGTCCACGTCAACGTGCCATGATGATCACCTAGATGCATCGAGAGTAGTTAAATAGGTACGGGGTAGAAGGGATGGGTACCCAATAAAAAGGCCACAGCTTAATCGGGCCAGCGCGGCGGTTGCTGAGACATTAGCCCCTCAAAACCGTTATAGGGCCGGGTCGCTCAGTGAGGGTTTCCCGTTGGCCGTTACAATTAAAAATGACTAGTTTTGCGGTTCGCGCTCGCTCTTAATAACACATTCTGTGTATGACAGTCATTAAATATATCTGATCCCATCTCATTTACTTCGCAACAATTTAAACGCTGCCTGGTTATACCCGCTGGGTGACATATAGCTTCAAACATTAACACTTTGTTACTCGACACTTCTTTTGAAGAAATAACAGGAAGTTGACTCGGCACTTCTTTTGCAATGTTCAAACTTAAGGCAATGGCGAGAAGCCCAACAACACTTAAATACTGAAAATCGACAAATTACATAGTTAACGCTTTGTCTAGTGCCTACATGACCAGATGCAAGTCCACAAAAGCTTAGGTTGCTTAGGTCGTAGACCATGTTCCAGCTGAGCCTGCCTGGGTCAATATTTCACGTCGGGGACATTGGCTCTGTGCCAGCAGTTTATCTGGCCAAGAGATCAATCCAACTCTCGAGAATAGAAATAATCGACATCCAGGATTAATTCTTGATTCGAGAAACTAAGCCTCATTTATCCCAACCAATGACAGAGGTTGCAAGGCATCCTGAAAACGGTAACGCTTGTTAATTATACCTAAGTCGTTTATTATATACCTAATTGTTTACGTTTACCTAGCTGGCAGGCTCTGGGACTGGTAATCTCGTCCATACAAAGAGGAAAGCCGTATCAATCTGCCCTTTCTGGCACCAGCTAAAAATCGACTGCAATCCAACTTACCATCGTTGTTGCCGGTTTGCTCCTCCCGCTTCAATAAGCCGATCGCATTCCCCGAACGCCGCCGTGAAATCCGTCAGCGGCAGCCGCCTGCGGACGGCGGGGTAGACTGTGCCGCTGCACACGCCGCCGGCTGGGTAGGCTGTGCCGCCGCGCACGCTGGACTGCAGTCTCCGCAGGGCGCTAACACCGGCCGGCGCACGCACTGAACTCGGGGACCTGGGAGGACCGACCGGTCGGCCTGGTGCACTGTCTGGTGGTATGGGTGGACGCTTCTCACAGGGATTGTGTCCGAAGCTGAACAGCAGCTCTGCACCAACGGCCGGAGTCGGGGTAGACCTGCGTCCGCTGCGGAGGGGTGACCTGCTCCGTCGGCTGCGCGCCAAACACTGAGGTCGAGGGTCGCCGGCCGCGGCTTCTGAGTGCCGACCGACGCGGTCCTGGGGGCGGGGCTTCCCCGGCCGCTCTGGCGTGGCCCGCCGAGTGTCGTCGTACGTGCGAGTGACGTCACTGGCTGATTGTGGTTGTGGAACGCGCTATCGTAGAGCAGCGGATGTGGCGCAGCGGAGCAGCGGATGTCCGTTGTAGATATTTTCAGCCCACAGGCATCAGACGACTGTGCATGTTGAGCGTTTGGTTGTTCTGAGGGAAGGCCGACGGCCATCGACCCATGACATCTCCCCCCCCCCCCCCGTCTGTCTCTCATATCCCAGCCCTGCGTCTCGTACCGTGCCGCTAGGCCAGCGTCAGTCAGCAGCGGCCTTCGCGGGACGCCAGCGGCGACAGACACAGTCTCGAGGTCGTACTGTATTTATCACTGTGGGTTCGGGGACGGCTACACTCCTACTGCGGCGGGTCGGGTCGGTACGGCAGCTGCCATCGCGCCGGCGGCGCCGCACAGCTCGTCTAGGCACTACCGCGTGTCCTAAGGACTAGAGTGACGAACGGGCAACCCCGAGTGCCCGGCCGTTCAGCGAGCTCCAACAACCGATCCTTATTGCGCGCGGCGGTGGGCACAGCACAGTCCGCCCGGCGCTGCAGCCAACGCAGGGGAACGGGAACTGCAGCACCGGGACCTGAGCACTGACTTAGAGGGCAGCGCGAGAAACAGCGAGCGGCCCGGCAGTCGACGGCAACCCGAAATCAAACCCGAAACGTTACATCGCGGACGACAGACACGAGCGTCAAAAGGACTAGCCTCATGCCGACAATTAAAGCCACCATACAGAGATAGCATAGTAACAATAAAAACAGCTCTATATATGGGATGACTCAGCAAAAATCACAAATATTGCGTAATAAGGCGCGATCTGTTCATGGTACGCTTGTATATCGATCTGCATAACATTAAATATATCTGCGCAAAACTGCGGCAAAAGAAGCTGACATGTATCAAGTTAGCACCATCTTAATCGGCTCAATATACTGGCGCATATTACAGGGGGATCAGTTACTGTACCCAGGCAAGAATCCATCACAATACGATCAAAAACTAGTGTCTTTCGATTCCCATTAACCACAAACTCCCACCAAGCACCCCGCCGGTACGCGCGGCCGGCCAGAGGGTCCACCGGCGCGGCTCCCTCGGCCCCCGGCGGTCAGACCGCGGTGCCGCGCTCCGGCAGTCAGTCAGGTACGGAGCCGACAGCAGCGCCGCCGCTCGGCCGACCACAGAGCCGCGTCGAGCGGCGGCCGCGCCTCGGCCGGGCAGAATTAACAGCACCGCTTCCTTCGTACGCACGGTACTGGCCGTATTCGGCAGTTGTCGCCAGAGCTTCGCCCCGGTAACTAGCATCATCCGCTGGACAGCAGCACTCCAACAGCCAGTATCAGTTGCCAGTCGGCTTACAGTCGGCCAGCCTCCAGTCAGCTGGCTGGTCAGTCAGCCACCGTTCAGCCATCAGTCAACAGCCGGTCAGCGGTCGGTAGGCAGCGCTCTATCCGCCAGGCAGTAGTCACCGCTCCGGCGGCCGGTGAGCAGCGCCCCGGCGTCCCGTGCGGCGCCGGCGGAGCGTGTCGGCGCTAGCAGCAGGCGCGCCGCCGGGCCGCCGGCGGCTCGCGCAGCGGCGCCTGGTCGGCGGCGCTGTAGCCGCGCCGCACGCCCTCCCAGCTGTCGTCCGGGTCGTACTGGCCGGCCACGATCCGGTCACGGACGCGCGCCGCCAGCACCTCGAACACCAGCGACACGTTGTGTCCGCTGACGGCCGAGCACTCCACGTACGGCATGTCGTACAGATCGGCGAACCGCTGCGCCTCATCCGTCATCACCTGTCGGTTAGACAGGCGGGAGGAGGGGAGACGTTAGTGCATGCTGGGAGAGGTATGGGTCAAAGTCAGTGAGAGCTACAGCTAAGGCTCCTGATACACAGACTTTCTGTCCTGTAGTACACACGATGGTGAAAATGCATTTAAAGCATTGATAAATCGAAATCAACTGACCAACTGAGAGTCCCAGGAAGACATGTCCAAGGAAGGAAATTTGGAGCGTCAACAGCAAATTTTCATTTAATCAATCCTTAAAATACTAAAAACGAAACAGGTAAACACCATTTCAGACATTGAATCATCAGCAGCGGACTGACCTCCCTGCGCGTCTCCTGGTCGGCCTTGCTGCCCACCAGTACGAAGGTGGGCGCGCGCGGCTCGATGCTGCGCCGCGCCTCCATCATCCACGTGGGGATGTGCTCGAACGAGGTGCGCTGGCAGAGGTCAAACACCAGCACGACGCCCACCGAGTTACGGTAGTACGACTGCGTGATGGATCTGCCGAAAACACAAATGCCGTGAGCTAAGTATAGCCGCAAATGGGAGCGGGGTTACACTGGATATCTGATACCGATACCGGCGACCGGCTGGTTAAGTTGGAACTGCAAACATATCCTGGACGCAGCTGGTCTGTGTCCGGTAATATAGGTAAATATATCTATGCTTAGTCAGTTATGTGCCACAAACGTAAACAAATGAGAAACGGGGGAAACTTATTATGTCTACAAAGGCTGATTCAAGGCCAAGCATGAGTTCAAAACTCGCTGTTCGTTTTCATTGCCCCGCCCGCTCCCCTTCCACCCTGGACCACGAGCGGCCGGTCTGGTCTGGTCCGGTCCGGTGAGCTGACCTGAACCGCTCCTGGCCAGCTGTGTCCCAGATCTGTAACTTGAGCCGCGTCTGGTCTTCCAGCGTGACGAACCGAGAGAAAAAGTCCACGCCCACTGTTGGATCGTATATCTGGTGGTGGCGGGGAGGGGAGGGGTGTCACCCACACACCGGTCGTAATCGGACCCAGCGGGAGCGACAGACCCAACAGCGTACTGCACTCAGCCGCGGCCGGCGGATCAAGTGGCCGCTGCGTAAAAACTGGACCCGCCGGTGGCACGCGAACAAGCTACCAAGCAGAGCGACCCCGTCGGAAAATAGAACAGGCGTGCGGGCCAGCAAAGGCACTATCTATATTCATTTTAATATATCACATGCATAAGTGATATGTTAAAAGTTCATCATTCAGAGTCGCCGAGTCTCCCTACCTTAGCGTCATCGGGCGAGTGCCCGTCGGTAAAGTAACGCAGCATACACGTCTTGCCGACGGTGGTGTCACCTATGAGGATGACGCGTAACTGATAGTTGACGATCGGATCACCCATGCTAGAATCCGGCTTTGCTGAAACAAAAACGGGTGCAATCACTCTGATACCCTTTCAAAAAATTGATAAGCAAGATAAAACAGACTCTTTTAGGCTAATGACAAACCTCAAAAATGGTTTGAGCTCTAAAGACATATGGTGCATCCACACATCCACAGTATTATCAATGGTTGTGAATGTAATCCCTCAAACAGTTATGGGCGAGAAGTCCAGAAAAATACATGTAATATAATGCCTAGACATGATGTTTGTTGTCAATGTAAAAATGAATAAATGTAACCTTTGATAGTATGCTAACTAATGTGTTGTGTGGGTAACTCTGGTTGAACTTCTTCAAAGGGTAATTCCTTGTTTGGAAATACCAAACTAGCTCAGCATAGACTATGCACAAGCACAACACCCCTTTGCATACTGGCCTTATATTCCAGACTGAAGCAGCAGACCAAGATTAACAGCAATTTAGGAGCAACTATGTTTAGTAATTTATCTGTTATAGTGATGCCTGATTTGGATCACAAATAATTATATTCATGCCAACAATTCTTCCTTTTAAAATCATTCAGCCTTTCTTATCTCTCTTTCTGTTGTCATGAGCTCTTTCAATTAATTCTTTCATCAATGACTTTGTTTATGTTTATACATGTAAATGTGATACATATTCACTCTTTAATTAAAATAGTAATTGCGGTATCTATGTAAAGATAGCTTATTAAGTTTTAAATCCAAGAAGAAATTAATTACAGCCAGCTCTATCAGTTCTTCATCACCATTAGGTAGGTACATTAATTGTCTTTGTGACTCACAAAAACAAACATTGTAACATTGACACCAGTAAATATTGCACCAACACAAATGAAACTCTTCAAATTCATCTTATCACAATTTCAAAAGGTTGTATGCTGTTAAAGCATTTGATTCATTAGCAATAGCTACTTCATTAGCAATAGCTACTTCATTAGCAATAGCTACTTCATTAAAATAAAGGAATGTGATCACAAATAATTAAATCAATTCTATAAAGCTATTTTATGTTGTAATATCTCTACAATAGCTTTACAATGCTAGTATTGCTTTGTGTCCTAATGCAATCATGTAGAAAATGCAATGGAATTCAATTACATACACACACACACCGACTTGTAGCATAGGTAAGAACCAAAATCTACTGGTAGATTTAATATTTTTTCTATTTTCTAATGGTCATGTCCTCACTCCTGAATAAAAGATAGATAAAAATTATTCAAACAACTATGAAAAACCATTTAAAAGAGATGTGATTTGATCAAAAAATATAAAAATGTGCTTGTCCCCAGTCCCACTCTCCACACATTTTATTTCACCTGGTGGCAAAAATCAAATTTCGGTCGGAAACACGGAGGTCCCCAAGCGTTTTCGTTTTAATTATATGAATCCAATTAGTATCACAACATGCTATAATCCAACTATCTAACATTCCCTGCCAGTAAAATGCAACATCTTACCATTTAAAGCTGGCAAATTTGACCCCAAAACACCACATACCTCACCCCTCGCTACCGACGCTGACGCCATTCTGGTTACGGCGGATGAACACAATTTATAAACAATCAAGGCTGCAAAAATATCAGATGCGTTTCGCGTGCTCAATTTTTTATCGCAGCCAGAAATGACAAACAATACCAAGGTTCTCAAATTGTTATGTCTAAAGCGCGGACAACTTTAAATTTAAGAAAAGCGATTATTACCCGATGAAATTCAAAGAGGTGTCCTAACCTAACCTAACCTAACCTAACCTAACCTACTGATTTTTGCCTACCGAGCTTAAAGGAAAAGGGCCACCTTCGTGAAATATGAAGATATCGTTGTTTTTCATTTTGACATTATTATTTTTCATTTTCTTTTTAAAACTGGTGCCAGAAGTGCACAATTCGCGAAAAAGTATTTAAAACTATTTAACATATTGGTACTATGTTGATACTCTCTACGGCACCTACTGTATGATGGCATAGCGATGACGTCACACTCAAGCCAATCAGCGTTCAGAAGACAGACTCGTCGGATTGTGTCAGATAAGCTGATTGGTTAAAGCTGAGCTGGTTGGAGCTGATTGGTAAAAAACCAAAGCCTCGCCGCGGGTGGCTGTATTGTCGGATAAGAACGCATTCCTGGGATAAGGACGCATTCCTGGCGTATTTTCTTTTAAAATTGCCGATAACTACGAATGGAGGCCGAAATCGGCCGTAAGGAGGTAGACGGTCAGGTTTTCGGACACGGGCTACAAGATGGCTATCTCAGTTTCAATCCCCATGTTAAAGGTGGCCCTTTTCCTTTAAAGAAACCTAACCTAACCTACTGATTTTGCCTACCAGGCATAAAGAAACCTAACCTAACCTAACCTAACCTACTGATTCTTGCCTACGGGGAATCCTAACCTAACCTAACCTAACCTAACCTAACCTAACCTAACCTACTGATTTTTGCCTACCAGGCATTAAGAAACCTAACCTAACCTAACCTAACCTAACCTAACCTAACCTACTGATTCTTGCCTACCGGGAATCCTAACCTAACCTAACCTAACCTAACCTAACCTACTGATTTTTGCCTACCGGATAAGGAAATAGTTACTTGCAGGAATAGATTGCAGGCAATAGTAAATCAAATATTTTCAGGTTAAGTGGTCATGCATCAGGCTTCAGGCCTTCGGCCTGAAGCCAGATACATAACCATTTAACCTAAAAATATTTGATTTACTATTGCCTGTAATCTCTCCTAAGGCATTGCCTTCGGCACTGCACTGCTTCGCCACGAGTTGGCCACAGACGAAAATATGTACAGTACAAGCGAAGAAATGTTGGACGAAGAATGAAAATATGTACAGACAAAAAAATGCACGGACCAAAAAAAGAAAATAAAGAAAATGCACGAACGAAAATATTTACGAACGAAACATTTCTGAAGACTTTTTCAGAAAAGTCGCTATCATTCGTCGACAGATCTGGCGCATCTCGTGAGGCGCTTTACCGAAAAAGAAAATTACCGAATTCTCTTCTATTAAAAATTAAAAATACAGAACCGCAATTCCAAAATTATTTGTGTATATCTATCACTTTTTCATAAAAATAGTACCCCCCCCTCACCCAAAACCCCGGTTTCCCACAGTTCCCCTAGTGTGTTGGGTTTTATGAAGATACTACATTTCTGCGTAATGGTATTTAACAACAATTGACATGTTGACAACAGACCGTCGTGCGGCTCCACCGAGATCGTGGTAAGAATAGCTTTTGGTCTTTAAATTATCGATCAGATAACTGGAAACCACATTATTCTTACTAAACATGAGTTTCTCTATAGAATGATGTCTATATTATAGGGATTAACTAATTTTGAAGCGGGGACCTCCATGTGTACCGCCCAAATTTCAGTTACACTCCATTTTCATTGGATTCTCATGAAAATAGAAATAAGCATGTAAAAAAAAAAAAACACACATTGCATAGGTAGTGCACTCAGTGGCCAGTGCAGTAGCTGCAGAGTGCAGTTGCTGATGCTGTTGGGTCTTGAATAACGCACTGATGAGTGATGAGCACACAAACTAAACGTGATTCCATGGTGATGGGCGCGGGAACCGGAAGGCAGTGGGGGCAGCTTGCCCCCACAACTCTGGGGCCATGGGGGGCAGTGGGACGCCGGTGAAAACAGGGCGCCGGAGGGCATATTAGTCACGTGATATTTGGAGCTTCTCCCCCTTTGTGGGCCTTTTATATGCCAAACGTCACGTGTAAATTTCACGAACCTTGATCAAATCGCCCCAGGCGCCCTGTTTTCACAGTCGTCCGGGCAGTGCCCCCAAAACTTTGAGACAGAATACTGCATTTTTTTGACAATGTTTTCTTTTTTGTTGAAAAAGCAAAGGGATGAAAAATAAGTTAAAGTGGCCTAAAACTGGTGAGAAAACTAGATTTGGGGGTACCCTAGGACCTAGGTTGATCTCTATTGCTATTATAGTGTGCCCCCCAGTCTGGGTCTGAAAGTAGTTCCCGCGCTCCTGCGTGATTCTGATTCAGATTCAACGAGCACAACAAAGAAATACCTACAGGAAACGGTACCTTATATTGCAATTAATCCAAGGTCAGAAAATTGCTCGCAAATCAAAACCAAATTATGAAATAACCTAACATTGACATCCATACATTGACATCCCTTTTTCACACATACACAGCACGAAAGGCGGCGAATCGAATTGTTTATGTGCGTACTATTTGTCGCCCGTTATTCTTCTCTAAACCACTGCAAGTTTTCACCAAGTGTGAAGAAATAGCTCACTTTTAGCAAGGTGTTTTGAACTGGAATAACAGTTTTGTAGCTTGAGCTGAGGCTAGCGCAAATCAGAAGCTTTTACGGCCCAACGATCACCCTAGACGAAGATATTCCATTTCTCGTTCCGAAAAGAGTGCCTGGCAGACATACTTGCAGAGTGCAGATCCCTCCTTGCAGAGGAATGCGTGCCTTACTGAGGAATGCAGCCACGCCATCGTCAGCCAATCAGCATGCTGCTTACAGCCAATGGGTTTGTACTACTCAATATGATTGGTCAATGCATAACATTGCTTCCGCGTCAAACAATATTTTATTTAGAATATAGGTCTTCCTATATTAAAATATAGAAAATAATCTCTAGAGTCGCTCATAACTCAAAACATACATTTAGGTACTGAATACGGGGGTCATGACGGGGGTCAACAATAGATTACAGAGATATGAGTATGACTTCTGGCCCGAACATAAGACGCGTTTACATAGGGTTTGTTGCAAGCTTATATCTCCGTCCGTGATGTTGCAAAAGATGCCAATGGTGCTGAACTATTTACAAAATGATCCCCTCTAAATATTTGAAGACCACTGCATCGAAATTATCGCCAAATTAACGAGCTAGAGCCTCGTCAAATATGCTATGTAAACCGGGTTATAGACCCGGGAACAGGGGGGGGGGGGAGGGGCAGCGGGGGCGATTACCCCGGTCCCCCCCAACTTGAGAGCCGAGGAGGCGGCGCCCCCTCAACATTGAGGCAGCGAGAAAGGATCTTTCCTCCCTTTTCCGTACTTCTTTCCTTCTTGTTTCCTTTATACATCTAAACATCAACACACGGCATTTTCCTTGCCATCTGAGTGGTTTCTGTTGATACAGTATCGATTTGACAACATCTGCTATTGTCATCCCGCTTTGGTTTGGGCCTGACCTTGGCCATAAGTTTGGCAGACCATATTTTATGCTGGACCATTTTGAGTCAACTTTGAGAAATATGCACATAACATACAACGGTGGTAAAATCGTTGCTATAGGCATAACACAGTTTACACGCTCCGGGTGTGAGGGAGGAGTGTGGAGCAATGAGTGCACTTGGCAATGACAGGCAATGGCGCCCTCGGAAGGCCGGTATGGGATTAAAGCTCAGCGACACTAAGGCCCAGACATGTGCATGGATCCGAAAAAAAAATGGATCTGAGATCCGATCCCACGGATCCTCATCTCGGATACGTCGGGTTCATAGATCCAGCTCTGTAATTTATCGAGAGATCCATAGGGATCACAGATCCGAGTCTCATTTTTTGCTTGAGATCCAGTGAGATCATAGATCCTCATTTTTTTGTTAACACATATATCCCAAAAAGCACTTTTTCAACTCACAAACGTTCTGTTTTAGTGATTTTATGTGATCGCACATCATAATCCATAGTTTTGTGTCACTTATTGGCATAGAAACCCTTTAAAACATGGTTTCAAATGTGGTGCATGGTGGGATCCACTCAGATCATAGATCCATGTTCTTAATTTATCGTCAGATCACATGAGATCATAGATCCAAGATGTATTTTTCACGCCGGATCCGGTGGGATCATAGATCCCAACCTGTACTTTGCTTCGAGATCCACTGAGATCATGGATCCATCACTCGGAGTCGGATCCATGCACATGTCTGCTAAGGACTGGTGTGGTGCCTTCGGTTATCGGTAGCACCCTCAGAATCACCGGCATAGGGCTCTCAGAGCCGCCGGTAAGGGGCCTTTAGAGGCACTGGGGCCGTCATGCAGGTGCCAGTGTGGGCGCTCAGAGGTGCTATTGTGATTCTCTCAGAGGCGCCGGTGAGGGTCCTTAGTCTTACAGGCGTTGCTGTGGGCCCTCATAGACGCTGGTGTGGAGCCGTTACAGACGGGAGTGGGGCCTTTAGAGCTGCTGACGCAAACCCTCTACAAGCCGGCAGGGGGTTCTCAGTGACCGGCAAGGGGCCCTTAGGCCGGCACAATAAGTTTTGTGGGGTCCCTACTTAGAGACCGGCATGGTACTGTCAGACGCCGGTGGGGCCCTCAGAGTAGAGATTGCAATCCCGGGATCGGGAACCCGGGATCCCGGCGGGATTTTAATCCCGATCCCGATCCCGAAATTCCGCCAATCCCGGGGTCCCGAAAAAATCAGTTTTTCACCATAAAAAGAATGTAGCCGCTGCGCGAGTCTTGTTTACACTGTTCATAGTGCTGCGTGACATAAAGCAGAGAAACAATTTAGCTGGCACCCCGTATCGGCCGTCCACAATCGACCGTGTTGGTAGCTCCCGGGTATCACCCACAGCGGTTAAGCCGATCAAATGTGTACGAAAAAGGGTCCCGAACGCCAAAAAAAAAAAAATTGCAGCATCAGTGCTGCAACATCTCTATCAGCAACACGGGTTGTTCAGCGATTCTGACTCGTCCGTGCGTGGCCGGAGAAAAAGAGGTCATCAAGACAGTCTTTGAGCTCGTGTCGCAGAAAGATGTCACAGATGTCACGCAAGTGACGGCAGAGCTCACTGATTTAAACGTTGAAGACGGTAGAGTGGAGCTCTCCCAGTCAGTGACTCTGCCCTCAAAGCGACTTTGGAGCAAAGTCTGAGAGACATTAGTGATGAAAGTAGAACCGGAAGGAGATGAAGTGACCAAGCGACGTCTTGAAAACATTGTGAAATAGGGAGCTGCCAAATTTGGCGTACACTGGTCGCGAGTTTTAAAATAGACAGACCTACCAGCAATGGCTTAAAACTGTCGCGCTAAATACGAGTAGCGTAGACGAAGAGTGAGTGAGGCGTGGATGTGCTGGAACGGCCGTCTTAATGACGAGATGAGGTAGTAAACGCACTGGTCGACGCACAGTTTTATAAAGGCCAATTGGGAATAAACGCTAATCAAATCGAAACGTTTCCTTCGCAAATTCAATCGTTTCTAATGCAAATGACATGGTCTAAGGCTTGTCTTAGACCATGTCTAAGACAAGCCTTTGGCCATCTTAGATGGCTTTTGGTTGCCTCTTTGTTTGTGGTAAGCTAAAAGACGCAAAATATGTCAGTAGGAAATTATTCTTACGACCTTTAGTGACTAGACCGGAATCCCGGGATCCCGGGATCCCGAAATGAAAACTTTCGGGATCCCGGGATTGGCAAAACGTTCCGGGATTGCAATCTCTACCTCAGAGTCACCGGTGTGGGGCCCTCAAAAGTCACCAATGGTGGCCTTTAGATGCGCAGGTGTTGGCCGTTGGGTCCTTAGAGCCACCGATATAGGACTTTAATAGGCACTGGTGTAGGCACTCAGAGTTGGGCGTGTGAAACCCTTAGAGACACCGCTGTGGGCCCTCATAGGCGCCGATGAGGGCCCCCAAAGTTACCGTTATTCGGCTCTCAGAAAAATAAGTGTGGGACCATCACATGTGGGAAATACCCTCTAGAACTAGCCCCTCATAGGCCGATAGGAACTCTCAGAGGCCAGTCTGGAGACCACCGTGGAACCCTTAAAGCCGCAAGAGGTCTTCAGGAGCCGGAGTAGGGCCCTTATGGAGATCTTAGTGTGGCTATTTAGGGCCCATGAGGTGTTCTAACGAGCCCCATGGGGCCCTTCTGAGTCGAAATATGGACTATGGTCATCTTCAGCGGTCAAATGGCGCCGCAGGGAACCTCGGACCCGACGGACGACGGTCCCTTTGAAGCCAATGGGGGGGGGGGGTACGTGTCCCCTTAGAGCCCCAGCTACGCCACTGTTTCATATGCATCATGTCAGGTATTTTAGGCTCGCTCCCCCCCAACTTGAAAATCGTTCCCGGGCCCCTAGGCCAGAATATTCAGGGCTGAGGTCAGGTCAAATATCTTGAGTAAAGGCCTGGCTACACTATGCGTTTTCTGCGTGCGTTTTTTGCGAGTTTGCGTGATTTGCGTAATATCGTTCTAGAAAGAAACGATATTACGTTTTTGTGATATGTTTTTCATATAAACTTTTAATTAATATAAAAGTTTTATTAACTTTACATAAATATTAAAGAAGTTTCATTAGTAATAACTATTTTTTTTTTCTAGAACGATATTAGGTACGCAAAACACGCAAACTCGCAAAAAAAAAAACGCACGCAGAAAACGCATTGTAGCCAGGCCTTAACCCTCGCCCTGGCAGGGGGGGGTCGATGCGACCCCCCCCCTAAGGTTTTTCGAAGATAGCGTAAAAACGGCGGCGCGCAGCGCCGCCAAATTTGGCACAGCCTATGGGGCAACCTTTTTACATATGACCTGAAAATTTCAGGTCCGGGTGACCTTGGGTCAGGTCACCAGGTCAGAAAAACCGGTACAAGGTCATGGTCAAATTTCAATTTTCTTCTTGCACCTGTCCAACTCACAGTTTTCGCCTGATTTCCTTCAAACTTTCAGGATGTGCTAAGTTCACCGAGTTGTGTAACATATAGTCCGGCTTTTTTGAGGTCACTGACCTGAGGTCAGTTAGAGGTCATTACGTCGTAATGTTAAGCCTATGGGAAAATACTAAATTCGGAAAATACTGGAGATATCCGCTTCGTTCTATCACTTTTGTGCTTTGAAACCACGGTACTTAACAGCAGGTCACTTGGTGCTTCTTTGTTTGGTGTACTTATCCATGGGTCAGGTCAAATGAGGTCAACTGAGGTCAAATGACGTTTTTGCCAATAACTTGGCACATAATGACGCTAGAGCTTAAAAATGGTATCATTGTGTTCCTGGTGATCAGCCGAATCGAATGATATGCGATATGATGCAATTTGGTTAACTTGAACTTAATTTATTAATTTAAGTTTACTTAAAATTTAAGAAAAACTTTAAGTACACTTAAGCAAGCTAAAAAGTATATCATTCGACGCGCCTTGACGTGCTGAGTTCACTGGTGCTTTTATTTTTGCTCTCTCTTAATTAGATCAAAAGTTATAAGCGAAAAACTTTTGACCTGTTTTTAGCGAAATTTTTACATTTATACCCCCCAAAACCCCCCTAAATATTGACCTAGAGCAACCAAATTTGCACAGGGGCGAGAAATCCAGGGGGCCTACCTACCTACCAAATTTGGTGTTTCTAGGTGCCATAGGAGCCAATCGCGAGGGGGGGGGGGTCGCATCGACCCCCCCCCCTGCCAGGCCGTGTTATGAAAAATGCCCTGCCAGGGCGAGGGTTAATGCATCATGGTAGTACCTACCTAGTAGAAAACATTGCAAACAAAGTGTCAGTGTTACGATTTAGGAATGATCATGAATTTCATTCTCAGCCGCGTCAAATGATCAAACAATTAGGTTGGCGACCTCGGGTCAAGATCATGTCAAAGCTGCCAAGGTCAGGGCTACGCTAGGCCCTGGAGAGCTGAATAATGCCATTTGCCTGCGTACGTTAAACTTTCGATTAAAATAATCGGCCGGTGAACCTCTCGCAGGCAAGGTACGGGTAGTGTGTCCATGACGTTATTCGCATTTGCCATGACACTGTTCGCGTCAAAAACCACATATTTCTCCATTCGAACTAAATTTCTAAAAAGATAAAACTGTCTTGCGTTGGTACAGAACACTTTCCCTCGGACGGGAGAGTTGAACAGACGTGATGGCTTACAGACTTCTCGTCAAATATGGTCACTATGCGTGAACACGTTTCACGTTTCGCTCATCACCGGCCTAATCGTTATATGGCAGTCGTTACACACACGCTAACTTCGTTTTATTCCGTTTTATTTAAAGTTCCCGCTCTGCTACGAAGACGTTGACATGCGGTTTTTTGGACGATATTTCGAGTTTGGTACCGTTTCCTTTTTGCTTCTTACCTACTTGTATTACACATGCATTGAAGAGGCAAAACATGGATTGAAACGCGTCAAGAGCAATGTGGACTTCTATCCAGAAAACGACACCATTTGAAAATGTTGGCTTTCATTATGACAATTAATATCCCGGAGGACGTAGCACCACCTTCAATGCCAATACCACCTCGTCCTACTCTTTTCTGTTCAGCAGGCTCGTCCTAATCCTTTTTGTTCAGAAGACTCGCTCTCTTGCGTCGGAAGGCGCTCAGCCGGCCCAGCGGCGACAGTGTGAAGGCGGTCGGCAGTCGGGATCCCGCCACCTCGGCACGCACTGGGCGGTGCATCCTCTGGCGCGGGGAGACGGCAGCAGCCGGCGGCGCCGGGCCCAGCGAGCTGCCCGCCAGCCGCAGACCCAGCAGCTGCACAATCCGAGACGGGACCGTGGCAGACCCGGCCTTCCCGGACCGGGCTGGCTCAGTTCCGTTGTGAGGCTTTTCATGGTTTTCATGCTGGCTTTGTTCTGCTTTGCTGGCGTTCGGAGGATCTTTTGCTTTGTTTGAGGATGGGCCATTTCTCGAATGCGACACTAGTTTTTCGGAAGTGCCTCTTGCAACCTTCTTTTGCTTTCCTCTTGTTCTGTCCTGCATCGACTTCTTTATCATTTTTGAAACATTCTTGGTAACCTTTCCACCATCGGCAGGGACGTCAGGCTGTATTCGTTCGGGACGTCTCGTGGGAGCCGGTACAGCAGCCGTCCTGCCTGTCGTGCCAGTCGGTCGCAGTGTGCTCGGTAGTGTTGTGCTGTTAGTTGTACTATCTAACTGTCTGGTGAGGTTTGTCGGGGAGGTATGTTGGGCTGTAGCGCTGGCTGGCGCACTGTGATTCGTGCTGTTGACGTCCGGTTGTGTTTTGACGTTTCTTGTGACTGTTGGTTGTGTTATGTTTGTTGTGAGAGTCGGCTGCGTCGTGTTTCTCAGGCTCGCTCGACTTTTAGAAGGTGTTGCGCTGGGCTCGGTCACTCTTTGCTGTTCCGTCGTATTTTTTATGTCCGGTTGTGGTTCTGACCGTGTTGTGGTGATATTGTTTGTTTGTTCCACGGTGTTTGTAGAAAGCAGGGTGTTTGTTGTGTCGTGCTCCGCGTTGATGTTTGCTTTACTTGGCTGTAGCATTTTGGTCTTGTTAGTTATCTCTGCTGGAGTGCCTGTATCTATTTGTGTCGTGTTTGTTCCGTTGGATTCTAGTGCATTTGTGGCATTCGGTTCAACTGATGTTTTGTCGGAATGTAAAACGGATTTCTTTTCCGACTGTGCTAAGGTGTTCGCCAGCGATCCAGAAGTTGTTCTGGGCTGTTCCTCGGTACCATTTGTATCGCTTGAATGTTTTGTGGTGTTGGTGGTGCTCGTTACTGCCGGGGCGGTGCGTTGAGGTGCTTTGGTAGCCACTGGTTTGGGCGGTGGTGCGCTGCTCAGGGTTCTCGGCTGTACTGTAACGTTTAATTGTGTCTGTGTGGCCCCAACTGTGCTGCCCTGTGCTACATTGTTAATAACGTTTGACGGCGATGTAGCATTAATGGTGCTCGCAGGATTCGTGTTCGTTGTGGTGTTCGATTGACTGAGGGCGTTTGATAGAGCTTCGGCCCTAACTGGTTTGTGCACGGTTGTTTTGTTTGTAGTCGTGAGTGGTGTCATTTTGTTTGTCGCAGCCTCTGAACGTGATGTGTCAATAGTGACATTCGTCTGTTTCATGTCGTTTAGCGGTGGTTTTATGTCCATGGGCCGTGCTGTGTTGACCGGCTGGACGTTGTTCCCAGCGCTTGGCCGTACCTTGCTTGTTACATTGGGCTGCACTTTATTTATCGCAGTGATCGATTTAGCTTTATCATCTGACGGTGTTGTGGTGATTGTTTTGTTTGTGGCTCTTGCCTGTGCTTGGCTGACCGTAGCGCCTAATTTCGGTGGTTGATTATGTTGCGTTGATATAGCTGTCTCTGTAGCTGTTTCTGGCCGATTCGTTGTTGCATTGGAGTTTGGCTGGGCTATGACTGAAGTTGCACTGCCCGATTGCGATATGCTCTGGGCTCTGACAACTGGCAGTGTCTTGGTGGTTCCCGCAGTCCGTCTCTGGATATCAGTTCCCGATTTCGTCACTAGCGTAGCCGCTTGCTGGTGGACTCTGACAGTGTTTCCGATCTTTTGCTGCTCCTTTCCGGCTGACGACTGCAGACGTTGAACTGCAGCTGTTTGGGTGTTAGCCTTTTGGACCTCAGCGGCAGCTCTTTGTAGTATACGGGTAGCCGAACTTGCAACTCGTGAAGACGGTTCCTTTGTTTGCAAGACCTCGTGAACCTTAGCTATCTTCCTTTCTTCCAGCTTGGTCGAAGCTCTTGTTACAGCCGGGGAAGTAGCACCTTTTGTTTCCGAATTCGATTCCCGCTGTCTCCCCGCTTCGTAGACTCTTTTTGTAACAGCGGCCTGTACTGTAGCGTTTTGGCCACGACTTATTGCCTCCAGCCGACCGTGCGCTGCCTCCTGCGCGGACTGTGCCCCGATCGTTTGATTATCGCCTCCCTCTTCGGGAGACGGTTTTTGTCGCAATCGAGCAGCCTTGACAGCCTTAGTGGCCTTCGTTATCTGTGCGATAGCGATTTTCGCACCCTCTAGCTGCCGAGCTGAAGATGTCAGTACTGCAGATTTGCTGTTACTCGCAGAGTTGACTGTGGAAGCTAACTGCGGAGAAGGTGAGTTCGATCTTTCTGATTCATTTGCAGTTTTTGAGGAGTCTGGCAGGACTGTTATGGTGACGGGTAGAACTGGTCGCGTGGCCGTGTCGGCTGTGCTGTGTTCCGTGATGTTTTCTGCAGATGTTGTGGCGTTTGTTAGGGTGTTTGATGCAGTAGCAGTGATGTTGAGGCTAGCTGGCTGTGTTACCTTGACGGTAGTGACATTAAACGGCCGTCTTTCATTGACACTTGTGTCATTTTGTCGTAAAGAATTCGAGGCCATTGTCTGTGTTCCATTCGCGACCTGGCGGATTAGGCTGGTGGCTGCGGTGCTCCCGTTGACGGCTGCCTTTGCAGCTCCCCGCACAGTGGCCTGTCCTTCATCACGAACTGAGACCTCGGCTCCGACCGAGGCCGTGCTGGTGCCCGGTCGGCTCACGGACACCGTCCTCTTCCGCAGCAGCAGCGGCAGGTTCACCCTCACAGTGCGACGAGCCGGCAGCTCTGGAACAAGACGGAAGTCGCTGGTATAGATACAGCATCATGCCAGCCCTTTCAGTGTAAAGAATCGGCTGTAATTTCAGAGGCTTACGTAAGAGAAACAGCTTTGGAGGATTTCCTCTAACTTGTTTCAGGACAGAGGGTCTGCACTCACCCGATGAGCAGCCGAGAGACTCCAGGGTCTGGTTGCTGACGTCGGTCACGAATCTGACGCTCAGAGAAGTGTCACGGCAGGCCTCTCTGTTGGGAGCGGCGAAACCCACCTTCTTGATGGAGTTGGTGCAGAAACAGCCGGCGCCGCTGTAAAAAAATGACATAAGACGCGGAATGAAACAACTTCATCTACAGTTCTTCCTTGGTGTTACATAAACGAGGCTAAATGAGTTTTTCAGTGGCTCCATGGCGTTGTTATTAGAATAATAATTTCAAATTTGATGATGAATTAGATAGAAGTAGATACCTATACCACGTCTTTCCTACATCAACAATTGTAATGAGGTAGAGGATCAGAGAGGTTCTTGAAAATATGTTGGCATTTTTAACATATAACCGTAAGTTTTTAGAAAATGGTTATATATACATTACCTTGCCTATTTCAATGCAAATTGCCAATAGATTATATACGAGCTCAATGTCATAAATCATCCTGAGCTCGATTATTTATTACCTAGCGCATTTTCTCTGCCGTTCGGCCTTTCAGCAGAAATCACTCCGCACCGTTACCTGCGATGGATGACGAACACGGCGAACCGGTGGCGGCGGCTGTCGGCCGCACAGCGACACGAGCAGCCACTCAGGCTGGTCCGGTCCCCTCCGCCCCCGCCGGAGGTCACATTGGCCAGACCGGAGAGCGGGTGACGCGTCCCGGCCGTCACGAAACACGGCGTGTCCTCGGCTGTGGGGCGGAGGCGGGTCACAGGATGGGCGCATGGAGAAATATGATCGATGCATCGGAGGTGATTGCCAGGGGTGATTGCTACATTCAGCCATAGAGATCTTAATGCAAGTCACGGGCCATGGCACCACAGGAAACCTTGCTTAAAAAGACCCACTGAATCGCCACGAAATCAAGTGCTTTAACATAGGCGTGTCATCTCTATGTATATAAGATCTCTATGCATTCAGCTTCCTAATCTGTCACATTTCGTCCTGTTGTGGCACAAAATTCAGGGCTATTCAAAAGTAGGCGGTTACAGGGCACAACAGCACGTTTCTTTTACGTTCGACCGTCACCCAGAAAAGCAGTGTTTATGATTGCATTCTTTCCACCACCCACTGCTCTCCTAATCTATTTTTAGGCGGCTACTGAGCTGCTCTAGAGCGCGAGAAGGAGTTCACTGCCGTTTCTCTGCTCCGGCTACTTGAGTGACGGGCCTTGAGTCACGTGCACTGTGGCCGACTGATCGAAGTCGGAGGCCAAATCTCACGGCGAAGGTCACAGCACCGGGTGAGGCGGCACGGGACTGTTCACATACTTACAGTATTGTTCCTTGGCTCCAGAAAGTGCAACGACCAAGTCGAACTCAGCTGAAATAACAAAGGGCCGTTATTAGCTGTTCATAAACGTTCGCAAAAAAGCGATGTCTTGTTAGTGCATAAACACATGTAGGTAATGGAAAGTCTTTTGTTGAACTCGGCTCTATGTATAATCAATATCTAAAGACTACTCGTATTAATGCAAAATCATGACAAAAGATTTAGTCATGCCGAAGTAATAACGTAAAGCCGGCAGGACACGTATGGACAACGGTGTCCACTGTCCACTGGTGCCCCACTCAACTCCCCTTTCGGTCGGCGTACGCTGGTATCCCACTCACTTTCCTCCTTTAAGCCTCGGTTGCTGTCCCACTCACCTCTCCTCGCTCCGGTAGCTGTCCCACTCACCTCTCCTCGCTCCGGTAGCTGTCCCACTCACCTCTCCTCGCTCCGGTAGTTGTCCCACTCACCTCTCCTCGCTCCGCTAGCTGTCCCACTCACCTCTCCTCGCTCCGGTAGCTGTCTCACTCACCTCTCCTTGCTCCGGTAGCTGTCCCACTCACCTCTGCTCGTTCCGGTAGCCGGCGGGATCGCTAGCCACAGGGCGACGGCCGCCAGCAGCGCGGGGCGCGTCGGCATTGCTGGCTGCTGGTCGGCGTGTGCTGGTCAGCGGCCGTCGGCGCCGTCTGCCCTTCAGGGTGACATGGTAACAACACCTGTGATCGGAGATCGGAGAGTGGCAGCTCGGTGGGCCGATCGACCGCCGCGACCCGCCGCCGCCGCCTTCAGAGGGACCGGAGTCGCCCGCCGTCCACTGCTCAGAGCAGACTACACCTCCGTCCACTGCACGGAGCCGGACCGTGTCCAGTGTCCACTGCACATTGCGCCACCTCTGCACTCAGTGTGTCATTTTCTATAAGTCACCAAAACATTTTTATCAATTATATTGATTTAAAAGGAGTAGGTACCACTAAATATCACCTACTAAATGATTTTCTCAGCGGCATATTACGGTATCCCAACAGCATTTTAAACAAAACATCAATGCACGAAAACACAACACAGCTCAAGAGCTTATACTATCGAGTTGGCGGTAGCTTTGAAGTCGGAGAAATATGGGCCTGACACGCCGCAGCTTTGTCTGCATTCTCAGAGAAGTGGAGCCTGGAGGACTTGGTGGCAAATTGCTGAGGACAAAGACTTGAATGAATTTTATTTACGGCTGTGCGCCGACCCCGCACACCGAGCACGGCCTTTGAGGAATCCTCCACCGCAGCCGAGGGCTCTTGTGGTATTAAAATGCTGCTGGTGAAATAGTGGCTGCTGGAGAGAATGCAGGCATTCGTCTTTCCAGGATGGGACGACTCTGCGAGACCAGGGTAGCAGTGTGTAGCAGAAAAAAGGCAGGGAGTGAGCTTGAGTTGAAACTTGCTTTAGTAACTTTGGGTAGGTAGGTAAGGCAGACACTAGGCAGTAGGCAGGCTGTGTAGTAGCACGTGCGATGAGCATGTAGTCACATGCTGTCAAGCTAGCGAAAACGTTTGTTAATCTTGATTTAGACCATGTTTAAAAATTCAAATGAGTCGGGCCGTTGCCCGTGACATTAGTGAAACAGATGGACGTTTTAAAACAATTCATACAATAATGAAGCCAACACAGTTTAACTTATCTGATCTCTCAAGACCAGAGGCCTGGAGACCTCTTATGGCCTGAACTGTGATCTGAGAAGTGGCTGAAACTTGCCGCCATATCGCCAATCTCTGGTCGCTGCCAGTGCAAATATGACGCCAACTTCCCCGTCGAGTGCGGACGACTGCTGATGAAGTTCGCTGGAATCGTATGGTGATCGCTGACCGGCCCAGTGGCCCAATTGTGCCTCCGAGGTGCTTCACGGCCGAAGCTGAGGCCCGAGTCGTGGCTGGGACGAGGTCCGCTGCCGTATTGGAAGTCCCGGAATCCGTCCGACCAGCACGAGATGTGTTCCGCTCGGCTACTCAGCATCGGTGTGGACCGGTAACAAATTGTTTTCAGCCCAACATGACCTAGAACAGAGCCAAGATAACGAATAGCCGTTACACATCGCGTGTTGCAATCTCAATAAAAATTACTGTGATGTTATATAAATCATTTTTTCGTGAAGAAAAATAATGAATTTTTAAAGCGATGTTTATTACAGACCTGCTTTCTGCAACTCCAGTCTCCGGTATCTAATTGTTCTTTCTTATCAAATTCCTGCTGTGTTCCGGGCGTAGTGCTGCCTCCTAACTTAATTGCACTTCTAGGGCCTGCTCTCGAGCTCGAATCAGCATATCTCTTTTACATCGCACTTTTTCATTCCTCTAGAGGCAACATCTTTGTAATTGTAATTTGGAGGCAATTTCTGGCAGTTTTCCGGAGAGCATTCTGTCAGCCGTGTAAATGGCGCGCCGAAGGAGGCCACGACGCCTCGGGCGGGCCGACATTTGCATAAGACGCTGGCGCCCCGGGTGCCAATCTCGGCGCTGAAGAGACGTTTGACCGGCGAATGGACGGCCGGCCGGCCGATGGGGGCCGGCGGGCGCCGATGAACCGCCCGGGTCCACGGCTGAATGGCTGGTCCACCGGCCACCGCGCTGACCTGGCTTCGTGTCCACTCCAAATGGGATCTAAAAATACTTAGGTAAAGCTACGGTTCAGTTCAGTTGCCAACCGTAAATTCTCGCTACTTTGTGTGTGACAGCGGTATCATACGCTACAGTTGCCGTGCGGAGAGCTTAACCCTCGCCCATGTAGGGGGGGGTGCAACCCCCCCCCTGAGGTGTTTCGGAAATAGTGCAAAAACGGCGGCGCGCAGCGCCGCCAAATTTTGGGTACCTTATGGGGCAAACCTTGCGCATCTTTTGATAAAAAAAATTTGACCGGGTCATGTCAGGTCACGGAGTTATGACGTCACAAAGGGAACAGCCTCCGGCCGGATTTTCACAAACTGAGTGCCAACTCCCGAGGTTTCCTGCCGGTGGTACGGACATCGGTTGATGGATCGTGATGAAACTTCCCATGCATGTTGGGGCAAGTATTGGCTATCATATGGTATAAGAAACTTGACCGGGTCAGGTCAGGTCACGGAGCTATGACGTCACAAGAGGAACAGCGTCCGGTACTATTTTTGAAAAGCGCCCGAACCACTATTTTGCTAATTCTTGTCACCTCAATGGGAATATGCAGCAATATTAGCTTCTATAGGGAGCAAATGGACCTCCCAAATCCAAAAATACAATCAGATTTCAAAAATTTAAATTTTGATTTTTCGAATTTCTGCCGCCGACTGTGACCTTGCCGACTTCCGGCGCTCCCAACGCGCCATTTTTAGAGCCAGGGAAACGAAATACATACCAAACGATAGAGAATTGATCAAGGAATACGATAGTGAAGGTTTCAAGTCGATATCTTCCACCGTTTTGCCGCAATCGCCGCGGAAAGTTGAAAAAAGTCTATTTTTCCGAAAATTTGACCTTTGACCGGTCAAAAGTAGGTCAAATGTTGACCTAGGACCAAAAAATATACCACCAATCGCGAGATCTCGGCGAGAGCAATCCGTTGGTCTTTTCCGCTAAGCTCTACGACGCTCTGTTTTCAAACGCCAAGGGGGGGTCGCACCAACCCCCCCCCCCTGCATGGGCGAAGGTGGCAGATCGCCGTTTACGGGCGAGGGTTAAAGTCGTGCGGTGCAGCATGCTTTCAGGCGCTTACTACTAGTGACATCTAGCGTCGTGGTTTTAATTGTCCATCGCCATTGGCCATCGCCTGGTCTGTGACTCTGTAGGTAGGGCTTTCGTCTGGTTATGGCATCTTGGCTCTTGCCTTCTGAATTTTTATACCATGTGTGTGCATTTGTGCAACTATGTCAAGGTTGAACATGAATAGGTATGTTGGGAACATAATTCATGAAAATAAATTGGACTGGTATTACTATTAACATTCCTACCTGTATCTACTTTACCTACCTTATACCTAGCCTATTAGCTATACGTAATACGACAATACCTAATGCTTATAAGATTTTACGAATTCCTCATTTATTATTCTAGACGAATCTTGATTGATATTCACTACGCAAGATGCTTTTGATTAGGTAATGCTTTTGATTTGATTTCCTTTAACCACGCATCGCGCATGTAGGGTAGACCGGGGCAAGTCGCCCCGCCGAGGTAAAACGCCTCACCGATGTTTCTCGGAACTGGCAAGGTTCTGGGGAAACATTCTCTCTTCTATAAAACGTGCACTATACGATCATTATATGAGCGGACTGGAAAGAAATTGTGATGACTCTTTAGGGAGATATAGCCAAAAATGTGTTTTTGGAGTGATTTTTATGTTTTGTTGTCAGATTATGCATCATGGCGTTCTTTTATCGTCCACATCAGGTTAACGATTTTTATGTATTTTGAACAACTATTGTCTAACGCTTATAATGACGGGTTGGTTCGTGTTAAATTATGTCTTCCTGGAGTGCAAGGCGTTGTTCTCTGACCGAACTACGTGATGGGGTAAAACGCCCCAGTAGGTCGCGGGGCAAAAAGCCCCATGGGGCGTATTACCTCATGTGTTGTTCGGACTACCCACTTCCTAATGTTCGGTAGCTGGCGAACGGTATGTTTCTATGCATTTATATGTACTTTTCTCAGCAACTGGATGGCATAAGAAGTATTTTGTTAACATTTGCATTGCAGTAATTTATTATTTGGCCTTATGAGGCAGGTGAAAAACCTGCTCTTACCATAGTGTCGTAGCCGAATACCTGATAGGATGGATGGTGCTAACTTCAGTGCCGTGCCTCCCAAGGTCTAACGGACCTCTCATATAAGATTTAGTCAACTAGCATGTTTAATCTTTAATCTAGAGTATGGGGCTTCTTGCCCCTGGCCGTGGGGCGTTTTGCCCTGGGGTTGGGGCAAAACGCCCTATTTGCAGTGGCTTCACAAACCACTTCCTAGCTGGGAGTCCGATCATAATTGAATGAATTTGAGGGATGGAATTTAAAGTAAAATGTCCAAAGAACGCATTGACCACAAATTTGGACTTCCAGGTGATGTGGGACAAAAGTTATGTAGCAAAATAAATTATCTGGGGCGTCTTGCCCCAGGCTACCCTACGCTTCTTTGCTGATTTGCGGCAATGTTCACTAAATCGGCGTTCTTGCCCACCATCGTCTTATCTCTAAGCACACCGCTCTGTCTTTTATCGAATATTTTCTCAGTTTTGAGTTTCTCATATCTATTGAAATAACCAATACTGCAAGACTGCAAAGCAGAGGCGGATCCAGCTCAGAGGTTTGGGGGGGGGGGGCAAACCATAAAAATTTATCGATTCTTTCCATGCATCGCCCATAGGCGTAATGTTAAAATCATGCCGTTTGGGGGGGGGATGCCCATTTTGCCCCCCCCCCCTGGATCCGCCACTGCTGCAAAGGCCAAAAAACGTCCACGAGACGGCCAGAAATGCTATGAACGGCGGGACACGGGCCCACACGCCTGGTAGCGTCCGTCAGGTGGCGCCATCGGCGGCCGGTTAGAGAACTGACCGCCAGCTGTCGCTCCCTCCGACAGGGACAGAATCCGACCCCAGGCGCCCAGGAAGCACAGGTGAGGTCTGGGAAAGGA